GGGCCCATATTAGCGGGCGCGGCGGCGCGGCGGCCCCGCAGCGGGCGGCGGCACCGGGGCTGCAAGATGCCGCGCTCCTTCCTGGTGAAGAAGCACTTCTCGGCCAGCAAGAAGCCCAACTACAGCGAGCTGGAGAGCCAGGCCGGTGCGTGGACGTGGGCGCGGCGGGACGCGACGGGCCACGCGCGTGGGGCGCTCCGCGGGGTGGTGCGGGGGCTCCGGTACGGGATCTCCTTAGGTCCGCACACGGGAGCGGGTGGGGGGGGGGGTGGCTGGCTTTTTGCGGGGGTCCGGGTTTGTTTTGGGTTGTTTTTTTTTTTCCGTTTCGTGCATCTCGAGTGGGATGAGGCGCGGGATCCTGCGCGTCTCGGGATGCGGAGCCGCCCCCTGGTACCCCGGGGTGGGCGGAGGCGCCGGGGGTTCCCCCGTGGGGTGGGCACGGGCGCGCGGGGAGCTCCCCGTGACAGGGGTGGGCAGGGGCGCGGGGTCCCCTTCGCCCCATCCCACGCAGCAGTGCGGGGTGGGGTCGGGTCTCCTTTGCCCCCGGGTGGGCTGGGGCTCTGGGCCCCCGTGGGGTGGGCTGGGGTTCCTTTGCCCCTCCGGCTCCGGGGTGGAGCGCGGGGCTCCCACGGGTCGGGTCCCGTTGTCCCGGGGGTGGCTCAGGGCCCCCCCGCCCACGGGGGGGGGGCCGGGCACCCCGCTCCCCTGGGTGCGGAGCCCCGCGGGGGGTGGGTCGGGGCCCCGTCGCTCCCGTTCCCGCGGGGAGCATCGGGGCCCCGGCTGAGCGCTGCCGCCTCCCGCAGTGCTGGCCGCCCCGCTGCTGTACGAGACGTGCCCGCTGCCCGTCATCCCCCCGCCCGAGGTGCTCGGCCCCGGCGCCTACTACCCGCCCCTGGTGTGGGACGCGGGGCTGCTCTCCAGCCTCTTCCCGGGCGGCCCGGGCAGCGAGGCGGCGGGCGGCGCGGCCCCCGCCCTGGACCTGACGGCACTCTCCAGCGAGGAGGACGAAGGCAAGAGCTCGGGGCCCCCCAGCCCGGCCTCGGCCCCCGCCGCCGCCGAGCGCTTCCGCTGCGCCCAGTGTGCCAAGGCTTACTCCACCTTCGCCGGGCTCTCCAAGCACAAGCAATTGCACTGCGACGCCCAGGCCAGGAAATCCTTCAGCTGCAAGTACTGCGAGAAGGAGTACGTGAGCCTGGGGGCTCTCAAGATGCACATCCGGAGCCACACGCTGCCCTGTGTCTGCAAGATGTGCGGCAAGGCCTTCTCCCGGCCCTGGCTGCTGCAGGGCCACATCCGGACGCACACCGGTAACGCCGGCTCTCGCCCCTCTCCCTCCCTCCCTTATCGCCTCCCGCTTCCCAGCTCCGCGGCCCCCCCGGCGAATCGGCGGGCCGGGTGTTATCTGGGAAGATAAGGGCTTCCCAAACCCCCTTGGCACATCTCTCTAAAATGTCCTTTAAATATCCTCTTGGCTGGAACCGAGCGCGGGGTCAAGGCTCGGCTTGTAAATCTGCGCCGCTGCCGTTAGCGCCCTGCCTTCCCGCCAGCCGGCCTGTCGGCTGCGGCGGGACGGCGCACGCTTCGGCTCGATTTCATAAATTGGGGCTACGAGACGGCTGGAGCGTTCCCTCCCTGTGCGCCGCCGTGCCCGAAGCATCCCTCCCTGCCCACGCCAAGGGCTCCC